TTTTTTTTTTTTCTGGAATTGGATTAAAGCGAACAACTACTGAACGTTAACAGATAACAAACCAAACAGCACATCTGTAAACGAGTGAAAGTGGGCACTGAAGGAGAAGAATAGACATAACAGTCACGGCAACGACAACAACACACATTTATATCTGTAGACCGACTTTCAGAGTTACCCTTGAAGGCTTGAAACATGATATAGTAGACAGACATACCACAAAATACATACAAACTAAACGTAAGCGCAGAAACAGACACGTCTGTAGGCATTACTATAAGTATCCCCAACAAAATTCAATGTAAATTAAACAAATATAAAGGAAAAATAAAAGCCAAGAATCAAAAAAACAACAGCAAAGTTCTTTTTTGAAACAATAGAGACAAACAATGTTTAGTGTATCGTATTAGCCCAGATGAGAAATAAATGGAAGTCAAACTATGTTAAAAAAACGAAAACAAAAACCAAAAAAAAACACCTTGAATTACTCAAACGTACAATGAAACTTAGTCAAATACATATTATAAACTTCGTTTTCGAGCAGTAGCAGCAGCAGACAAAACATTGTTAAATTTGTTTCTGTGTCAAGTGGAAAAAAGAAACAGAACTGAAAAGAACAGAACAGAAACGAAAGGCAATCAAACAGGGACAAAAAATAAAAAAAAAATGAATGAGTGAATAAATGAAGGAATAAATGAATGAATAAATAAATAAACAAATTAATGAATAAATGACTGAATAACTGGATGAATGAACTAATGAGTAAATGAATGGATAACTAAATGAACGAATGAATAAGTAAAAGCCAAGAAAGAGCCGAATAAACTGTGATAATTTTTTTCCTTCACTCCATAAATTTTACTTTGCCGCCAAACATTTTTCAGAACATTTAGCAATTAAACCTTCCAACATATTCGGTACTTCAAAATTCAAATCAAAGACGACGACCCACCTTTTAGCAGAAAATTGAAATAACCATCAAACATTTTCTGCTTGAAAAATAAGTTTTTTTTTTTTTTCAAAATTAAAAACATGCTGATTTCCCCTAAGTTCTTCTTCATCATTAAGTCACTGAAATGATAACCATTTCAACCAGACAGCAGAAAAGGAATTGAAGGAAAAAAATCACACAATCTTCAGTCAAGTCTCTTTTATTACAACACTGCTCTCAGCCGGTGTCTGTGGTTGTCGAACGTTGTTGCTGTTGCTAATTGTTTTCTTTTTTTAAGCATGCGTTGTTTGATAACATTTATGACAGAACGGTTTATGGTCCACTTCCTTAAAAGTTCCCTTGTTGAGCTGCTTTCTACAGTAGGAACAACAAAAGTGTTCCGGATGAAACTTTTGACCCATCGCCGATACGCAGCGACCACTGATCGGTTCACCGCATGATGCACATAAGCTACCACGCTTCTTGTGATAATGTTTTTCGCATAACGGTACACCGTTATGATCATAAAATGAACCAGTTTCGAATGGCTGATGGCATTCCTGGAA